TAAACTCCTACTTATCCAGAATAGACCCTGACATACCCAACGTATGTCCTGCATGCAACGAGTCTCCGCATGACACTGACCACCTCTTTGCATGACCAACCAACCCCACCCAGCCCTTTTCCGTTTGGTCCGACCCCGTCGAAACAGCACGTTCCCTGGGCCTCCCGTTAGATGACGTCGACGACAATACTGATAACCCTCACCATCCCAACGGGGACTGATAACGGTTAAAACAACAACAACAAACCTGTTTACTGGATGCAAGTTATTCCTTCTCTGCATGCCATAGCAAACCAAATACCTAACACCCCTCTCTCCTTATGATTTATCCCCATCGAAACAGCTCGCTAGTCAAAGTGCAAATTGAGGTTCCCCAGAATATGTAGATGTATGCTACCAGATGTGTAATGATTTCCGAAATAAAATATGGATCCCAAAAACTGAATTAAAAACTTACTATTATTTTTTAAAATTAAAAATCCTATTTTATATCAAACATTTTTTAATAAAAAAAAGTTGCAATACTGGCCCGCGTAAGTATTTGTCTCCTAAACCAAATATTATTGAAATAAGAATATTACCAAAAGTTCGTAGAGTCCCCCTAGCATACCAATACAAAGCTGTATGAAGAATTTAAATGTATGTATGTATGTATGTATATAATTTAAATTTGTACTCTTTTGCATCAGGGTTATAAATATAATAAACTAAGCGCCTGATTGTTTACAATTAAATGAATTATAATCGTAAATAATTATCCATATTAAAAAATTGACCACTTATTTTGCTACCTTATGACACATCCACGCTTACTCAAGGTAATACATATGTACCGGGCGACGTGTGGGTACAAAAACTACTTGGTACTTCAACATTATATAATAATTGTTATTTTTTATATACATTCTTGTTTTGATATTTTCGAAAAATAAAGCACGCACAAAATAATTAACTTCCATTGAAATACTTGCTGCTATTGGACTAATTTAATTCACGCGAAAACAAATAAAACATTTTTTGTACACTTTTATATAGTGCTTATACGCTCAAAAGCAAACGAAATTTAAGAATTTTGTTAGTGCGTATTGCTTGTTTGTGAGCCCAACTGTCTGAATCATGTGAAGTCAACAAAAAGTAGTAAACAACAACGACTAGTTGTGCTCTTGTTGGTAAAAGGAAGCATCTTACTTTTAGGGTTGACGTTTTTCTGTTGTTTACACTCTAAGGGCACTTTCACGCTGATAATTTATAAACTATGCTAAACTATATAAACCGTAATGTAAAGAAAATAGTTAATTTACTGAGTGGGTTGAATTTTGAAGGAACGAGTCTTAATACAATCCAGCAAATTGGCTCACCTGCTTGAAGATATTATATATGTATTGGTGATAGAAGACTAGAAAGGGTTTTTATCAATGAACTAAAATTCTGTTCTATTGCCTTTTTCTATCTACGGAGTTATAAAATGTTCTCTACATATTACGACTTAGGAAAGTGGGGAAAACATTTAGAATCTCGCGCAATTTGGGAAATCACCTTATATCAATACTTAGTCCCCATGTCCATTTGTATGCTTTATATTTATAGGACCAAGTGGAGAAGGACCTGACTGCGCCAATCAAGAAGAATGTGATGTCGTAAATAATTACATTTTTTCCGCTTACATTGCAAACCTAGACTGAACCCAATGTACTAAGTATTATACACATTGAAAAAGTCTACAGAAACTCTATCTCTTATAGATCCCACAATAATATTTTTTGCTATTTACTTTTTACGACAAATAATGGCTAATTTTCGAAGCGATTGCAATTAAATGTCTTAAATAAATTGTTTATTTCATATAGATCTGTATGGCTCTTTACTGCATATGATTTAAGTGAATGTTTTCGAAGATATTACAGA